TTACTAGAATATTTCATTACAAGTCTTTTGTTTTAATATTTTATAATTCTTTACTTAGTTTCCTAATTTTCGTTTAATTTTTAAGTTTATTAAATAAGTCAAAAAACTAGCCGTTGCAAACTTTAAAAACTTAGTCATTGTCAAAAAAAATAGCCATTGCCAAACTTAATGCTTAAATAATTTTTTTTTTAAAACGGCACTTAAGGCCCGCGAACTTGTCCTGTCCCATCCCGTTTGTTAGCGGGACGGGATGGGCCTACCGTTTTGTCCCGTTTATCCCGTCCCGTCCCATCCCGTTTGTTAGCGGGACGGGATGGGCCTACCGTTTCGTCCCGTTTTGTCCCGTCCCGTTTCGTCCTGTTTCGTTCCGTCCCGCCACCGTCCCGGCCCGGCCCGTTAATTTTGTCTCGTCCCGTTGGACAGCCATAACTATTTCTATACTTTCCATCCCTTGGATAGTAGAAATACCATTCTTTTTCTCCTGTTGTTGCCAACTTTGGTAGATCCTATGGATCATACTTATAGATGTCAATTTGCTTGATAAGTTCTATGGTGATAGGTTTTTGCTGAACTTTCCTCCTTAGATAAAGCCCTACTAACTCCCTTCGATCAAATATAGTGGGGAATATAGGTACTGTCACTAAACATGTGTAAGTCTAGAAAAGGACACATATACATACATACTGTAGAAGTGATATAAAAAGTGATGCTTTGCATTAGCAGGTAACAAACAAAAAATTGGATTGCTATACAAGTTGAAGGGCAATAGAAGATAATAGATAGCCAGCATAATGATATTAAAAATCATATTCTGGAACCCAATAATGTAAAGTATAAGACAACTTGGTCCACAGAGTAACCAGCGATCTAATTATTACTTACAAATTTTCCAACTTTCAGAATCTTCTTTTGAAGTTCTGTTCTTAATCAATTAATTTCGTCAACCTATTTTTGACACAATGAAGAAAGGTTTACACCCAAACCAAATATAGCAATTTATAACTATAATTACTGTCTCTTATAAAAGGGCCCTTTTCAAAAGGGTGTGCCGACCAAAGCTACTCTACAGGGACGAAGATTGAAGCAAAGTTCACCACTACTAAAATTGATGAACAAAAATTCAACTCACACTGTGTAAAAACAATCATAAACTAACAATTTCTAATCACAACCAAAACATAGCAAATTTGTAACTTTCTCCCCTCCAAACTCTGGAATGATATTTATTTGGAGCAAGAAGAGACATAGAAAAAATAGAACAGTGATTAAAAAAGAAATTTTTGAAATATATTACCTGGGGTTGGTGGCGCTATGGTGAGGATCGGCCATAGGTGGCGACTCCGCGATAGGGCAGCAACAATGAGAACTTTACAGGGGATGAGAGATTTTAATTTTTTGAAGTATTTTTTTGTAAGTTTCCCCAACTTAGACGGAAGAAATTGAAGGGAATGGGTTATTTTAGTCTAAAATTTCGGAGGGGAATCCAAAAGTAATAAAAGTCGCTTTTAATTGTTGCTATTTATTTTTATTGCCACTAAAAAGGTATATAATAGCGTCTCATGCTTATTTGCCGCTAATATTTTCGCTTACAAAACTATTTAGTGGCCATTCTTTTATTGCCGCTAATTAAATGCCACTAAAAGTCTCTTTTGTGGTAGTGTCGGGGTGGTTTCGGACCAAATTGAAGCTATTTGGACTGCTGTAGCTGGTGTCTGGTTTCCTTCTTCGCGAACACGAAGGAAGTCCCGCGTTCGCGAAGAGGAATTTGGGAGGGTGCTGGATTTGGCCTTCGCGAACGCGAAGCAGTGGACGCGAACGCGAGGCAGGAGCTGGGCAAGCCTTCGCGAACGCGGCTAAGGCGACGCGAACGCGAAGAAGAAAGGAGGAGATGGGTCCGAGGTCGTTGGCCTTCGCGAACGCGAACGCGAACGCGGAGGAGTAAGGTCTTTTGGCCATCGCGAACGCGACGAGGAGGTCGCGAACGCGAAGAGGAAATTTTGGGTCAGAGACATTTGGCCTTCGCGAACGCGAGGCATTGGTCGCGAACGCGAAGAAGGGCAGTGCTGCGCAGTGAGTTGTTTTAAACGGGATTTTGGCCATTTTCACTTCATTTCCGCCATGGGAGCCGATCTTGGAGCGATTTTAGAGCTCAATCTTCACCATCTATGTCAAGGTAAGTGATTCCCACCTATGGCAAGTTAAATACTTTGATTATATATGGATTTAGACATGAAAATTTGTAGAAATTTGAGATTTTGAAGAAAAACCTATAATTTGGTATTTTGAATTTTGACCACGAATCTGGGTATGGAATTGGGAATAAATCATATATTTGAGTTCATAAGGTTATGGGTAATGATTATCTTCGAAAATTTTCGGAATCTAGGCACGTGGGCCTGAGGGTAATTTTTATCGACTTTTCGATCGGGGTTAGAAATTGCTATAAATTGGATTATAATGAGTATTCGGGTGTATATTAATGGGTTTGCATAATTATTGGCTAGTTTTGGAGCGTTGTGTGTCGATTCAAGTTGTTTGAAGGGCTCGAAAGCCGGTTATGGAACTACGGAGCGAGGTAAGTCTCCTTTCTAACCTTGTAAGGGGGAATTAACCCTATAGGTGAAGTAAATTATTATGTGCTTCTATTTGTGGAGGCCACGTACGCACGAGGTGACGAGAGTCCGTACGTAGCTACCAGCTATGCCTACGTCCGGGTAGTTGTAGGCTCACATCATGCCTTGTTGATATTGTTATTGATTTATGTTTATTGTTTGCCTTGAGAGGGAGCGAGATTGAGTCTGCTTATTAAATGTTTTGAAAGGAGTTGAAATTAAAGAACTTAAGATTTAAAAGGTTTCATTTGAACTTTGTAATTTCGAAAAGAATTGAGGAATAATATAATAGCTGAAGAAATTTATGTGTAACCGCGTCGCATGTATGTTTCGCAAGCAGGGTAATTCCTACTACTCTCATGGGAGCGGGTCGTTCGCCTCGGTAGATTAAATAGATGCATCTATGGTTCGCGCTATTCGACCCTCTGGTAGTGCATAGTTTAAATATTTGTTGGATCGGGTCGTACGACCTCGGCATGATTTGCCCATGCTTGTATTGCTTGCCTTGAAATTTATAAATAATGATATTGCCTCCCTGGTCTGAGATGAATTGATAAATGATGAAATGTGATTTTGGAAACCTCTTATTAACAAAGGAATTGTTTACTTGATTCATGATTTTCTTGAGTTTACTGCCGTTTTTTATAAATCCACGACTAATTATATTATTAATGGCCACAGTAAGTGTCGAAGTCTACCCCTCGTCACTACTTCTTCGAGGTTAGGCGGGATACTTACTGGGTACGCATTGATTTACGTACTCATACTACACTTGCTGCACGTTTTGTGCAGGTACATATATGACTAGTGGCCTTGTGGGCGCAGAGGTGCGGTTATTACGGGGACTTAAGTGAGCTGCATCTTATGTACGACCCGCAGCTAGCAAAGTCTCCTTCAGAGTATTGTATTTTCTTCCCTGTCCAAATTTGTGTTCCGGACAATTATTATATTTTATTTTAAATTCCTAGAAAATTCTCATGCACTTGTGACACCGGGGTCTGAGATGATTATGAGATGTTCAGTATTGAAATTGGAAAATATTGTTATTTATTCTGTAAATTCATCTTTTACTAGATAAATTGAAGTAAATTTACGACTTCAAAAATATTAAAATAAGAATTTAATTAACTATTTAGTGTTGGCTTACCTGACAGTGGTGTCCGGCGCCATCACGATCTTTAACGGATTTTGGGCCGTGACAGTCAAAGCTCCTAACAAGGAAACTATTTTTTGAATTTTGAATTCTCTATCTTTTATTTTATTTGAAATTTTCGAAAGAAAGACTTCTAAACAAGAAAAAAAATATTTTGGGGTTTTCATTTTTTTGGTAATTTTCGAAAGAAAGAAAATATTTTTTGGATTTTTATTATTTTTTGAATTTTTGGGAGAAAGACTTCTAAAAAAAAGTAGAAAATATTTTTGGATTTTTGAATTTGACATATCAAATAAAGACTTCTAAAAAAGGAATATATTTTTGAATCTTGCATTTTCTTTTCAATTTCGAAAGAAAATCTTCTGAAAATATTTTTGAATTTTTAGAGGAAATTAAAAGAAAATATTTTTGGATTTTTAAATATTGGGGTCTTAAAGAAAGACTTTTCTAAAGAAGGAAGTAAACAAAAATATTGTTTTGGATTTTTTTTAAATTGTGGGTCAGAACCGATGAGATTTTCCTGCGTATCTCACACCCGGTGAGAATCAGACCCGCATAGTTCGATCAGAAGCCAGGAATATTTTGAAGTCTCACCGTATTTTTCAAACAATTTGGAGTAACCTCTCTTATTTTTTCTCCTCTTGGTTTTTCTCATTTTTATTCTTTATTCTAGAAGCCGGTCATCATGCAAAACAGATCAAACAAAATGCACAAGTAGCACGTAGGATGCCTCAGGATGGTCTTTTATTTTGGGTACATCTGTCCTAGACGGACCCAACCCCTGTGTTGAATCCCCAAAGTCAAATGCACGTGATGCAAACAAACGTTCCTACTAGGGAACCGGCATGAGGGTATGTTATTTTATGTTTAAAATCCTGAGGATATGTTTTAGACCTGGCTTACCCAAGCGGACGGCTCGAGCCGAGCTGGGGGCAACGTACCGGGAGCACGAAAGTCTACCCGGCCTAGTTGCTGATCCAGCCTCGTTCTATTTGGTATGAACTCTAACAAAAAAGTGGGCCATGCGTACGTATGCACCTTAGTTTCAGAAGACTCAGATGGGAGGCGTAAGAAGACAGTTTCGCGTTAAACATGTGTTAATTGATTCAGGTAGCTCGGCTAACATCATTCGATCAAGGGTCGTGGAACATCTCGATTTGCAAGACCAAGTCGTGCTTGTAGTTCGAGTTCTAAACGGATTCAACATGGCTTGTGAGACCACTAAAGGCGAAATAACATTACCAGTAAACACCATCGGGACCATCTAGGAGACCAAATTTAATGTGATCGAAGGAGACATGAGATACAATGCTCTATTGGGAAGGCCATAGATCCACAACATGAGGGTGGTGCCTTCGACGCTGCACCAAGCATTGAAATTCCCAACACTTGACGGAGTTAAAACTGTCTACGGGGAACAACCAGCTGCAAAAGAAATGTTCGCGGTTGAAGAGGTGACACCGACATCTACAGTTTCAACAACGAAGGGCCCAAACTATGTGGTCAAAAATGGGGAAAAATAGCAATCACTGATACCATCTTCGACAGATTCGGACAAACAAGAGGAAGTCGAGGATGATGATTATGGGATTCCCAGATCTTTTATAGCCCCCGATGATTTCGACGCCACTAAATCGACGGTCAAGGAACTGGAACAAGTCATATTACGAGAAAACTTGCCCGATCAAAATGTATACCTGGGAACGGGGCTAAGCTCCGAGCTTAGGGAAAGGTTCATTCAATTTCTTATAACTAACGAAGACTGTTTCGCTTGGTCCCACCTCGATATGACAGGTATCCCACTAGAGATAACCACTCACAAGTTGAACCTGGACCTGAAGTTTCATCCGGTTAAAATAAAGAAGAGACCCCAGTCCGAGATCAAGCATGCTTTCATCAAGGATGAGATATCTAAACTTCTTAAAATAGGGTTTATTCGGGAGGTCAAATACCCGGATTGGTTAGCAAATGTAGTGGTAGTCCCTAAAAAGGGGAATAAATTAAGAATGTATGTAGACTATAAAGATTTGAATAAAGCATGCTCCAAAGACTCTTTTCCTTTGCCCAACATCGACCGTATGATCGATGCCACAGCCGGCCACGAGACCCTCAGTTTTCTCGACGCCTATTTCGAGTACAACAAAATACGGATGGACCCGGGTAATCAGAAAAAAACTTCCTTTATCATTAAGTATGGCACGTACTGTTATAAAGTAATGTCGTTTGGATTAAAAAATGATGGTGCCACATACCAACGCTTAGTAAATCGGATGTTCGAGAAACAAATAGGAAAATCAATGGAGGTTTACATTGACGACATGTTAGTTAAGTCCCTGCGAGCAGAGGACCATTTAAGACATTTGCAGGAAATATTCAGTATACTGAAGCACTAGAACATAAAACTAAACCCAGAAAAATATGCGTTTTGAGTAGGGTCGGGTAAGTTCCTCGGATTTATGGTATCCAATCGGGGAATCGAGATCAATCCTGCTAAGCTCAAAGCAATCGAATATATAACGGTCGTGGACAACATAAAGGTTGTGCAAAGGTTAACCGGGCGAATAGCTGCCCTGGGGCGATTTATTTCGAGGTCATCCGATAAAAGCCACCGATTCTTTGCACTGTTGAAGAAGAAGAACGACTTTTCGTGGACCCCGGAATGCCAGCAAGCTTTGGAGGAACTCAAAAGTTATTTATCGAGCCCGCCCCTGCTTCACACA